CTTAAGATGTAAGAGAATTGGGCAAATTACATTTTGAAGGATGAAGTCTTCCGACGTTCATCTATTCCGATCTCGGATGCCCTTCTGCCCTCGATTTCCATTCAGGATCGTAGTGGCGGTTTGAATATGTAGTCTATGACTTGCGGATTCTAGTAGTAAGCGAGTCTGTGTTTTTACTCATCCAGACAAGTATGCTACCGATTGCTCGACCCCAGAGAGATGGAAAGCATGGTTACCCTGGGTTGATCTGATACGGGGTCCCATACTCGGGCTATGCGCATGATAGTGCACAACTTGACAGTGCACCATCTCTGCTCAAAGCACACAATACTACATCCGATTCTTGCTTGAAGCGAATCTATGAAGATCTCCCTTTTCGAGAAATAGATTTCTCAATTGCTTTGCAGACTTGCCAGAGACACGGCGCATTCCCTAAGAAGAAATATGGCACCCTGTGACTGGCAACCTCGCAAAGCAGGTGCTTATTCCATTGAAGTGTGCAGATTGGCACTGAGCAGTATAGTTGATATATATTTTCATATTTTTCATCACAAACAAATAATGGTGAATATAAAAGTCGAAAAGAAAACTAAATTTGTCTCGAGAACCCTTGTATCTCTTCCCCTAACTGTGCTAGGACTTCATTAAAGGCACAACTCAGAATAATTTTGACGTACTAGTTGCAAAATGAAAGACTGAAATGTTAGTGGAGAAAAGNGCAGCGATAAAGGCAAAAAATCTCGCCGGCTTTGTAGTGAAGATAAGGTCTCCTAAAAGTGGTGATTAAAGGTTGTAGGGGATTACCATGACGGAAGTGGCTTGGAAGAGGTGTTGGACGAGATTTCAGTTGTTGCGTTAAGAGCTACATACATTAAGCAGAAATTTTCAAAACTGCCTTCCGTTTTCGTCATAGGCCATGAGTAGTTTTCCAGAAACGGCGCTCCCGAAAATTGACAAAGAAGTGTGAAAAAACTTCACTCTAAAGAATGATTGTAATTTTTAAATTTTGGATTCATCGAGGGGAAAGTTTTGATCTCGTGGCTATGGGAAAAACTTAAGTATTCTTCTAGGTTTCAACCCCTCTGACTCACAATGAAGGTGGTCAACCTATTCCCGTCCACCGACCTCACCGAATCGCATGAGGAGTCATGCAACAGCATAGCTATATGCTTGAAACTGGTTCCTGTCTGTTTGCAACCACGGAATAGTTGTTATACTGTACACTTGTAAAATGAGCAAAGTATCGAAAAATATTCTATGACCCTCAAATACCTGAAATGGCTTATTTTTGATTGCCCATCCCTTTTTACATTACTAAATGGTGGAAGAAAAAGAAGGGCGTGGTTGCACTCATAGAAGGGGCGAACAGTTGCAAACAAGCACTGAGCCGGCTCTGCAAAGTATGTCCTTGGACTCCCATAAGTTGGAAATGATTTCACTTCGAAGCGGATGATTGAAAAACGACCAGTGTCCCACTCCTTTTCAACAAAAATTCTTTTTCAACAGCGTTGTGGTTACTATCATGCGATGTACAGTAGGTAGTAAAACCGCCATTTCGTGGATACTTTACGGTGTTATTTGGACAGAGACCTACGCTACGAGTTATTCGCATTTTCTTTTTTTCGAGTTATTTTCAAAAGGCTGAGAGGAATTAAACCGACTGGAAAGGAGATTATCCGCCTTACATCTTGCTACAAACGACTTTCTTAGTTATTAGCTTAGTGAGGGCTTGAGGGGCTAGTGTTCAAGATGTTCCCTGCCATATGAGTGGCTCTTAAACCGAATCTCGCCGAAATTCGCCAAGACCTTTCAATCAGCTGATTATTTTCATACTTATTCCATCCAGTAAAGGCCTTAACTTGTACATGAGTGGGCTCCAGTAGCTTATCGAACAATCTTAACTTGCATTCAAAGAGCCACTCGATCGCCACAAGATGTCGAATACGTGAAGCACTGCAAGACCATTCGAAGATTATTGGGTCGCCCACATAACCTACGGGATGTTTGACTTGAACGACTTTCAAAGAACTAGTTGGAAAGCTTGGTTCGGTGGCTTTAAATCCAATGAAATGTTGGAGCGGGTCGTTTGAGCGATTCAGCTTAATCAAGTTTTNTTTTATTGAGTTGCATTCGAATAGAAGAGGCTAACAGCATTCAAGGTATACCTTGCGATAGCTTCAATAGGTTTAACTGTACTCAGTTTAGAAATCGACTTAACTTTACCAAATAGAGTTCTGATTACTATATAGAAGAAATGATAGGGATCATACCTGTGTCACGTACATCAACCTAATCATATATTGTAGTGACTGGGCACTGTTCCCTTCACCTTAACCTATACGAATAACCTTTATATTTAACCAATGTGAAGCTTCACCTAAAAACGCCCTTTCAAGAGCACCTATTCTGGGGAGAATTAATTCACAGTTCTACGGGTATAATTGGGTATCGTCGAAAGCTAGTGGACAAGTGAGAGGTAGTGGAAATTCAAAGAAATCGAGGGAATAATGAGGCTCAAGAGCAGTAGGAGATGCGGCGAATCTGGTAGGGAATCGATTAGTTTCGTTCGTGGGTTTTGCTGGGAACCGTGGTTTGGCGTCGTTTATGAATCTTGCTGTAAAGCGAATGAAATGCCGGCGAAAACGTACAAAAGGCAGCGTGAGTAGTCGCCCGAATACAGAAACGTTTATTGAAAGCACATAGGATGGAAGAAAGACACTAAAAGAAATGAGCACTTCAGCGAAGAAAAGCATTACAGGGAAGTTCGTGCACCGTACAAAGTGGCTAGGATTCGCTAGTGGTCCTCGGAGAGGACTGGGGTTCGATTGAGTTCGATTTGTGTAGTCGCAGTGATTCCACGGAAAACGTCGGCCTTTGTGGGGCTCTGAAACAAGTTTGCGAGTCTTCATGAATCGACATAGTCATCGCATTGATTGTCTATAGTGGCATAAGTGGCATTCACTGGAAACTGTACATAATTAGTTGTCTGTTCTGAATGCAAGGGGAAAAAGGAGAGGGGCACAGAAATGGGTAGCCCGAGTTGAGACAATATCAAGACAGCACTCCTGTCTCGCTCTTCCCCCCTCTCAATGAAAAAATTCCCTAGGCGATTTTTTTACTTGTCATGATTGTTGGAAATATCTTCGCTAAAGCTTCGTCCACGTCTACGAAATGATCTTACCACGGCCTGTTTCTTTCCGAAAGTTCAAACTCCAAGAGTATCCTTGCACAACTATTTGCAGGCCCTTTTCGTGAAAGTAAATGCATTCTATTGAGACTAATCTGTAGCCCACGGCTTCCCATAGGAGTCTGATGGCATAGTTCACGATAAAGATGGTTTCCGAGATTTCTACTTACAATTAGAATGAACCGGCGACCTCAAAGGATAGCACGTATAACAGCGTCAGGTCGAGAAACGACCCCCCCCCCCCCCCCCCCCCCCCCCCCNNTTTTCGAAGGCACAGTTCACGATAATTTTGAGGTACTCTTTTTAGGTTGAAAGTGTTGACGTAAAGGAGTTCATCGGTGGCGAAGATAGCGAGAAATCTGCCTAATTCAAGGCTTTAGAAGTAGTGGAAGTGGACGCTGTACGAGATCACCTCGACGATAATGGCATGTAAGGGGTGTTTGACGCAAAGGGATAACTACATCAAGCCGAAATCGTCCGAAGCCGCCTTCAACTGCCGCCATGGCTTATGACAAGCTCTTTGAACTCCTTACATGGGAGTCTCGTGAGATAGTGCAGCCTCTACAATGCCTTTGAACTCGTCCATCATGGGTGTGGCATTCACACGATACAATGTTTGGCTCCTTCTTGTGCCCTGTCAAAAACGTTTTTCGACCTTATAAGGACAGGTATGGTGTAAGGGGGAGCATCGAATTCGTGCTACAGGTAAATCTCAGAAACCATTTTCATCGTGAACTGTGCCTTAAAGTGAAGTCATGGAAATATGGTGCAGAAAAGTGGGAGAATAGCGAGGATACCGCGAAAATCGGCGGATTAAAAGAAAATCAAGGCTTCAAAAAATATTAGACAAGGTGGTTGTACGAGATTATGATCTGTTATCGTCTGGGTGTCTCCCACATGAGCGCTCTATTTTTTGACGACCTAACTCTTCATTGTGAATGGTGCAGCCTTAGTAAGGCCTTCACAACTCCTTTATTGGGTGGACCCAGTTTTGGAGCCTTATAACGTCTTGTCGGGTCGTTTTCGACCGACTCTGTCCCACATGCTAACCTTGAGGCCACAGGTTCCTCTAAAAGACAATTTCAGAATTTCAGAAATTTCATCGTGAACCGTGTCTTTAAGTGCCCATGTCTTCAAGCAATTACAAAGTAGTGAAAAAAACTGGTTTTTGAAGGTTTTTGGGGGTAGTCGCTAGTTTTTCGGTAATAAGGAGAAGTTTTCGAAATTCGCCTTCGCAATACCGTGTCCTCCGTTTGCATTCGAGAAGGTAACCGTGTTTGGAAGTCGGCGATCTTCGGCGTCAGTGAATCTGTAAGCAATTTATAGAAGGAGTTAGACAGACGGTTTAGCGAAAGCATTGACAATGTTGTTAATTAACGCCAGCACGCCCGTCCTGCTCTGGCCAACTTAACCTTTCATCCCTCCTATTGTTACTTGAAGATCATCATAAGTACTTGTGACTGAGTGAGGTTATTAGGGATAAAATGCCGACTATTAAATAGGAATATTAAAGTGTAGGTTGCAAGCAAGTCCCAATGGCACTGTAACTATGAATAGAACTGAAAACGAAAAATATCACACAGTCAAATTGATAAATGCACTACTTTTGATCTCACTAATATACTGTAACCTTCAAAAAAACTACAACTACAAAGTGGTGCACCATTGGAAGTTTAAGGACTTGGGTGGGAAATCAGTGCTACACTTTCCATTCGTTTTCCCAGTGCAACTAGGACCTCGAATTCTATTTGTTTTGCCATACATGGTTATTTTATTCTCCCGGCAACAATTTCAGCTCACATTTTGTTCGAAACTAACACGGTAAATCGATGCAAAACGACTGCTTACCTCCTAGTACCGGTGTGGGCCGTTCGTCATTCGTTCCGTGTTGGGCACTTCCTTCGGTATTAGCGGAAATAGTTTCCTTCTCTTTCTGAAGAGAAATTTCATCGGGAAATATAAGATATCCCTTGAAATTAGAAAATGTTTCTATTTCACTTGCCTTCTTTTGCCTTTGATCCATGATGAAACGATAGGTCGTAACACCTTTCTTCCCTGAAAAATGGTTTGCCGTCTGTGGTTCCGAATGGTTTGGGTGACCAGCACGTGGACGATAAACAACATGAATTCAGACTGAAAGTTATTGAAACCTACACAATTTTGCATGAAAATGGAGTAGATGGGCTGTGGTAGCGGTAATTGCCAAATGTGACGCGAAACTTGCAAACGACGCTAGGAGAAACACCCAAATAGGAATTTCAACCGGAAGAACATGCTCTAAAAACAAATCCATACTTCACATCGTTTGAATGCAATGCTCAGGGTCCTTCTCGATTGGAAAAATGAATACGGCTTTCCTTTGTTGACGAAAATGCCAGAGAGAAATGGGTTCTGACAACGCCATTGAAGGTTGCACTGGAGTAGTTCCAACGCAGCCAGGGTGATGATTCATTTTTAGTCATATCCCAGGCAAGTTCATTCCGTCGCAACCGCTCTTTCGCATGGTTTGATCTCCTTCTAGAGCCGACACTACAGCTGCGAATGCAGTGACAATTAAGACAGTCATTCCAATTTGGTTAAAAGGATGTGGACGTGTCCATTACCCTGGATTCGGCACACTCACACGCGAAAGTCATTAGTCGAACCGTTTGGCAGAATTGCCTCAAGTGTGAGCGATGGGTCTGAACTTCCTAAAGTTTTCCCCGTATAACTTACTCAAAGGGTTTATGGTCTAATCAAAGTGGGGTCGACGATACCCACCGACGTTCGATTAGTGTCGAATGACGCCACAGCACGAAGGGTTCTACATTGATGAAGAAGAGGGATTTTTTTATTATATGCTGCTCCATCACGGCATTCTCTGAGATGAAAAGCCAACCTGTGAATCTGGTCACGCCGTCCGGATCTGATAACCATAAAAGGATCTGCGCGAGACCGAGTAACGAGGCTGCTCCGCTGAGGACGACAATGCAGATGAGAAGTATGATGAATAACCTGAACAATGAAATGAATTTTCTTTCTCAGAAGTATGGAGAAGTAGTTGATAACTGTTGTTTGCCGTATTAGCAAAACGAAATCAAGACGACAGATTCTCGGCATTGTCCTCAAATACCTATTACGATCTGAAAGTCTTTCACTTTCAAGGCAGTCCTTTTGATAACTGACTATGACCAAATAGGGTAAGATAAGAGGAATCGAAAACATTCGCTCGGTGATGAAAAAATAGAAAAACTCTCTGAAAACCCAAATTGAGCTTCGCGTGCTTAAATTTAGTTATTGGGTTTGCACAACTTGCTGCAGCGACTGCCATGCTTCAGCCGACACACTGATGCTCCAACATATGAAGTTCAACTCACATATGCTGTGCGTGTGCGTTGTGTGCATGTAAGTCAGTATATGCCGCTGTGTGTGTCAGTGTGTATGTCAGTGAATGTCGGTATGTATGCGTCAGTGTGTGTAAGTGTAGTGTGCGGGTTCGGCTCGGCTGTCGGTTATAATCGTGGACGCCCTCCACATCACTGGTTTGCTGTTGTAAGCATAGACGCATCTTACATCATCGGTTTACTGTATGAGCACTGCAAACCTGCACACCTCTGTGACTTAACCTTTTAGGGCGGAGTCCACAAGCCGATGCGACGAGGAGACGACTGGCGACAACGACACCGAACATCGTCGACTCCCTTGAAACTTGTCGTCCCATGCCCATTGTCTTTCTCATCCTAAGGGCGGAGCCCTCCGCACCTATAGCTGACTTGTATCATGTTCGTAGTAGAGTCTTTGTATAACAGTTCCTTGTCCAATGTCTCGTTTAGGCGTTTGTTGTCTAATGATGTAGCTTCGAGATAACCACGGGCCATCTTGCCTCCTCGCTCTGTATTGATGCCTTGAACATAAGCTCTATCAATCTGACGTCTCGCGTAACATGATATCAGCCGCTCCACTGGGCACGCTCGCTTGCTGAGCAACGAGTGTTTCACCCCTCGTTGGAAGTAAGGATAAGTTGGTTTAAGTTCCAGTCAGGATTTTGTATAGGGTGACACTCACGAAGATGGCTACTACGTGTTAGTCCCTTTTTAAGATGTTGAATTCAAAGTCGCCAGATGGGTCGAACAAAGACTACACTACGCACTTTTTGATCACAGCCGACTCTTTCTACAGCTGTTAATCGAAACGTCAGTTCTTCGTCAGATGCCCTCTGCAAACACCACCTTTTTTCTAGTATTTCTTCAAACGTCGCCTTTCTTCTGGAAGCGTAAGGCGAAGCGTTGTCTCTCTTCAGATGCGCGACCTTATGCGGCTTTCTTCTGACAATCCATCCAGATGCGTTCCTTTCTTCAAGCGCTTCGTTCAAATGTTCTCTTTCTTCTTGTATTCTGTCGAGATGCCTTCCTTTTTTCAAATTAAATATTACAGTAGTCTTTGTCTTATGTTTTCCAGCAATCTCTTGTAAAGGTGGTCTACAGAGCGAGGGCTTAATCGTTCATGGTATAGATCCCCAAGGGCCGGTTAGTCAAAAGTCTAGACTGGTCTAAGAAGTACCAGTGGATGTGTGGAAGCCGAGAGAGGCTTGGTGCCCACTTCTGGAAAATGGAGGTGATAGAAATGTTGGGGTCGGAGAGTGCTTGAAGCCCATGTCAGGGGAATGGAGGTGTAGAAAATCGTCGTGGCGCAGTGAAAGTTACGTGAGGATTTGATAGCCAACAGGGTCGGCGGTGGTGACGAGGTGATAAGCGACAGAGTCGATAGTTGTAGCGAGGTGCGTAACGAGTAGTGAAGATGGTGTCCATTTTGGGCAATTGTGAAGTCGTGAACGGTTGTGTTGTAGTATCGCTGAAACGAAGTAATGGATACTCGGAGCCCTAGGTGAGTATAGTGTTACGGCCTGTTGGCCCAGTACAGAGACATTTGCTAACGATCCAAATCCGCTCATTAGTGTGGCTCGGGGACCCTCCTCTCCCAATCCCCCTTACCGGGATCCCTCCTCTCCCAATCCCCTTTACCGGCTAAGGATGAGGAGGCCAGCCATTTCCGCACGGATTGGGAGATGGCTGGCGGTGTCAAAGACACCGGCCAACCAAGCAGGGCAGTTCCGCGTTGTGGAAGTCGACCACAACCATCTCACCACTATCAACGTTTCGGAAACGCAATCGTCACCCCGACGAGTGTACATGAAACAGTTCAAGCGCTGCTACGAGCTATTTGGTCCGGTAGCGCTGCTACGAGCTCTCGCAGTGGACCCCAGTCAAAGAGCAGTTGGCTCTGCCGGTGCTACGGAGTTAACAGTGCCCGGCTACTCTCATGCGGTAAGTGCGGAACAACTTACTATCGAATCCCCAGTGCCGACTCATCATTAGAACACTCGTTTCAGATCGTGTCGCACTTCTTTATGACCGGTTGGTTTAATACAAAGACCTCTTAGCAGTCATTTGTTGATATGCCGCTCTTCATTTTAACTCTTCGCACCATTCGTGTCCTCTGTTAATCGCTCATCTATCCATTCACGAATTCTGAATATCCTCACGAATTTCGATTGCATACGTTCTCTGTGTCGATCCTTTCCGTTTGCTGCTCGTTTCGTTCGTGACGCTCTTACTAGTGGTAGTTAGCCTTGTCTTCTACTTATGCGACTCTTATAGGAAACTCGAACCGTCTCTAAACTTTTTCCCTCTCAAGCCATGACAGTGCGCAATCAGTTCCGATAGCACCGAATCAATCAAGTGAGTCTGCATCAGTTCCTTCCACACCGAGTTCCTGCCCAAGCACAGACGTGATTCAAGCTGAGTGCCCAGCAACGGCCACGGTGGTGGACGCACTTGTGCAGTGTCCCGAGCTGGAGTAAGAGGCTCCCACCACTTCTAACCTTCAGTTTTCAGACATGAATGATGCGATGGATTCGTCTTCCTTCGCTCCACAAGAGCTCGACCTATCGGAGGAAGCTCCTTTCGGTCCCACTCCGGATCCGGAACCATCGATGGAAGCTGGCGCCGTCCAGCTCGCGCAGTCGATGGAGCATCTGTCTCTCCTTTCTCCAGCTGTGCCCGCATCGCCTAGTTTCGCTAATTCACTTTACAGGTCACCTTTGCACCAAAAGGGTGGCCAGAAGGCGCAGATCTGTCAGAATAAAACTTCCACCTGAACCCCCAGAGCCTCCTCGTGGCCATGGGGTGATAGTGCACGTCAGCGTCAGTCTCCACCCTAGGTCTCGATACGTCAATCTCCGTCTCCGAAACATGAAGACATTTGGCCATAATAGAGCCACCAATGAGCTTCCAGTAGCAACCTACAGGCACCTCCCTAACTCGACGTACACGAACATCAAGTTTGTTCGGTCATTGTTTTCCAACTTCGTAGTTCGTAGGCAGCCCTATCCGGACCCCATTCCACTCATAGAGCTGCAGCACTCAAGGATACCATCGACTTTCGATTCATGACTGAAGACACGAACGCGGCAGTGCGACAGGGAAGATACCACGATAGAAACGTAGTTCACATCCCACAGAACACAGTCCCTTATAGCTCCAACTTCACGCGACCATGCCGACCGGTGCTCTACTAGGTAACGTCAACAAATTGGGGAACCGGAGTCATCCTCGAGGCTAGAGACTTCTTCTTGGTCGGTCCAGACCGCAGGGATTTTCATTGCATTGTCCTCAATCAACCACCTAACGAGACGGTGCTGATTCAGCAAAGCCAGAGTACAGGTCAAGGTCGTCGTATGGGTCTATGAAATCAAACCCTTTCGACAACTCCTCTGGATCTTGAGAACACCCTCACCGCGTCGCGATACCCCCGCACTGCAGCGCTCGATATGAACTCCATCTACTTTTTCTGCGCGGAATCATCTGCATTCGTGACGCCAGTGACGCTCATGAGCCGATTTATGGCATCACGCTGTCGCGCAAATTTTCGCGAGTAGGAACAGTCGCCTCCGTCAGGGCTGTATTTGAAGTAGCGCCTAACGCCTACCCTAACACCCTCGATCTGCGGTTGCAAGCTCAAGGAGGTGAGGGAATATGATATCGTGATGGCCACCACACGGGCTAACGTCTCCTTTATGCGTTTCTCGGAACTACCGGCTTCCCCCGGGCCCGTACAGCCTTGTGCAAGCTGATCCACCGGCTCCTTCCCATGCACCCCGATGAAGGGTTGGCACCGCTCCGTGTTTGACGGCTGCAGGAAAGTGACCACGCGTGGTTAGCAGATCGTGCAGGTTCTTTCGGGAAGTATCGCCGCGACTGCGGCGAGGCAAGGCTGCGCATGTCGAAGTTATTCAACGTGGCGTGCTCTACCCTGGCGGCATAATTTCTGCGGAAGACGATCGCCCACCCACTGACTGGCGGCCTAACTCATCCATATCACTATCTCGCGAGGCTGAAACTTGTGCTTCCCGCTAGGCTGGTTGGGTTCTTCAGCGCCTCGAGGCCCTGCACGTCCTTGGGTCCAGTAGCATTTTCTGCGCGAAGATAACACGCGTCGAGATCCAATCCGACGATGCGCTCTAAACGTCATCATAGAAGCCCTTATTTGGTCGCACCACACCATCAACGGCGCCATTCCGAGGTATGGTCGTCATTCCGGCGCACTAACCTTTGGCGACAAACTGACCGCGCCCACCCTATTTATGGAGCCATTGCCCATATGAAGACTTTCGCCGATTTGAGCCCCACTTTGCTCGCCATTAGGATAGCGGACATGGTCTACGGAGGATCACAGGACGCTCCTGTGGTTCAGGCGGAAGCCGCCGATCCCATCGTGGTTGCCCCGTCTTTTCAGATAAGCTGAACAATTATGATTCTCACCGATGACCAAGCGGAAGCCAATCGACTCGCAGTCAGCAACGGCCAATTGTAGCGATACAAGCGGCTTCCGGTACAGGTGAGGCGACGGCACTCATCGCGTTGCGACCACCATGGATAGTAGATGTGACAGCAACTACTAATGCGGCGGTTACCCAACTCACAGAGGCCTTACTACACCTCGATCACTTGGCTGATCTCGAAGTAGTTCGTTATTTGTCTGGCACACAGCGTCGGACAACCTTTACCCACAGAGGTAGACCTGAACGTAATCCTAAACTCGCTCTGCGATCGAGGATCTCTCTGAAAAGGCAGCCAGTAAGTTGCACTTCAACATGGACGCTCACGCCTGCCTTCGATTAATTGAACTGTTGCTACGAAATCGCATCTGGACCAGTACAGAACTGCGTATTCTCTTTCTAAAAAGCGCAGTCACGCCATCTTCAGACGCGTCTCGAACAGTTCGGCGTTGAGCAGAACATCGTGGATCCCGTCCAAGGACGTGACAAGGAGGTAGTTATTCTTCTAACAACCAGAACAAACTTTTCCACTGATTCAGCTGACTTCCTGGACGATTACAAAAGGAGCAATGTAACAACACGCGATGCCGCCTAGTCCAGTTCATCCCGGGCAACGCCGTATCTTTAACGACCGTACCGTTCTGGTGGCAGATCCTCGTCTTGGCACGTCGATCAATCCCATGGTTCCAGCCTCGACTCTAGAGTGGTTTTCTCGCGGGTAATGTTCCGTCACAGTGAGTTTCGCTGTTCAGTCTTTTAAGTCAGGGACAAACTTGGTGCAAATGAGGGAGGTGTAAGCTTGGAGGCATCTTACATCACCGGTTTGCTGTATAAACACTGCAAAACCTCAGTATGACTCAACCTTTTAAGGCAGAGTCCACAAGCCGATGCGACGAGGAGACGTCTGGCGACAATGACACCGAACAGCGTCGACTCCCTTGAACCTTGTCGTCCCATGCCAATCGTCTTTCGCATCGTAAGGGCGGAGCCCTCCGCACCTATAGCTGACTTGTATCATGTTCGTAGTAGAGACTTTGTATAACAGTTCCTTGTTTATTGCTCGAATGTGTTTGTGGTTTAATGATGTAGCTTCGAGATACCCACGGGTCATCTTGCCTCCTCGCTCTGTATTGATGCCTTGAACATAAACTCTATTAAGCTGACGTCTCGCGTAACATGATATCAGTCGCTCCACTTGGCGCGCTCCCTTACTCTGTAAAAACAGCTGAGCTTATACCCTGTTATCGTTACGGATTTCGTTTGTATTGCTATTCTGCGCTCATTATGCGTGTGTATATTGATCGTTTATTGGTTCAACCTCGAGATATCGAAGAGTAACACGTGCATCCTTTCTGTACTATGCTTTCAAAATAAACCTAATCCGGAGACTTGCGTAACATGAAATCAGCCGCACTGGGCGCGCTCGCTCACTCGGTGTATGGGTCGGTGCGTGTGTGGCGCTGTGTGTGTGTCGGTGTGCGTCGGATGTATGTGTAAGTATGTATGTTTGTGTGTGCGCGTGTTTGTGTGTGTCTGTGTATGTATCAGTGCATGTGTATGTCACTGTATGTGTGTGCCGGTGTGAGTGCCGATGTGTGTGTTGGAGTGTGTACCGGTATGTGTGTGCGTGTCAGTGTGTGTATGCCGATATGTGTGTGCCACTATGCGTGTGTTTCCGTATGTGTGTCGGTGTCGGTGGGTGTTTGGTTTGAAGTGGATATCTCTTGTTTCCATGTTCCCGGAGCACTGCAGTTTGAAAAGGACACAGGGGTAGAAAGGGCGTCATAGAATGCAATAGCCGATAGAGTGCTCAACTGGACTCAAGATCCAGGAAAGGTTGCGAACTGGATGAAGTAGTTTGAATTGGTGATGGAACAGGGAAATAGATGGAAAAGAAGATGAGAAGTGACTTTTTACTCTTTAAAGGCCTCCTGATCGAATCGCTGGGTAGACTTTTTGTCTCACCTGTAGTTCTTCTTACCAATGCAGTTGTTCAGCCAGATGCAGTGATGGTCGAAAACCTCGACACAAATATTGCATCGACGGCAGTGCTTTGTTTTTGGTTCCCTGTAAAATAGATTCTTCGGCATAGCACCGACTTCGATTCGGTTTGTTCTGAACAGATAAGTTTTTCTCTGGGCAACAATGAATGTGGATCAACTTCCATTAAAAGCCTCGGAAGATGCAAAACGGCAATCATTCTGATATTTGATATCTTTTTAGGCCCGAAACGTTAAGAGATAAGTATGTCTGCTTAACACAAGAATACCAAGATACACCTCAAAAAAATATTGGAGCATTTCCATGATCAATGCGAACACGATAGCAAAGGTGGTCGCTTTTTCTCATTACAACCAGTACTACGCATTTGAGCTTGTACAACTTTGCCACAAATGTTCAGAAAAGAGCAGGAAAGTTCGGGGAATGAAGGGAAGTTTGAAGAGAAAAACACTTCTCAAGGATAAACTTGCATACGGGCAGAAGAAAGAATATACCACTCTTCCTCTTGAAATTCACCTAGATAATGTCACTGTATGCTCACGACAACAAGTGTAAAGCTCGAGAAGAAAACTTCGTTGACTCTCTTACCACTTGAAATCACCGAGTTGCCATAGATCTGCTTGCAGAAGAAGCAGAGCAGAAGTAGAACAGGGAGTAGTGGATTTACATCGCGAGCACAAATTAAAGGATTCAAAAACTGAAGTAGTTGGGTGGTATGCTGTAGAAGATTCTCGTCAGAGAGCGTGTACGACAGCTGCCCCCCCCCCCCATGCGTTGGATATTGTCAGTTTCTAACAAACAACCCACTACCTTAAATAACACTGGCTTAACGGACGGCAGTGACTGCTTTCAGAGTTCACCCACATGCCTTCCGACCGACCGGTCGACCAACCGACTGACTGAACTTCCGACCGATCGACCGAGCGACGGTATTGCTGGCTACGCGTTGACAATACTGGACAGATTGTGTTCAGGGCCCAAGTCAAGTAAGTCATGAGGGCGTGTGGTCCATCGGCGTCCATTGTTGTCAACACGTGGCTAGCGCCGCTGTCGGAGGGTCTGTCGGAAGGCACGTCGGTAAACTCTGAAAGCAGCCACTCGTGCACAATGAATGAGCTCTTTTTGCTCGATTTTTTCTCTTGCATTTTCTAATGAAGTCTGAAAAAGGTAACCAAACTTCATCGATGATAAAAGCACCCACACATGAATCTGGCAGATATTACAAAA